AATGAATTGTATATCTCTTTGGTTTGGACAGTCATTAAACTTAGATGTAATCGATGCTATTTATTACTAGGACCATGAATTGTGCTATTAATGTCTAGATTTTCTCTTCCGATCCTTTTGTTGCATACTTATTTATTGCTTATGTATTGTCTGTTGTTTGGCTTGTGCATAGAGATGCCATCGTATGTCGTGTACAACGGTAAGGTTCCCGGAGTCTACGACGACTGGGAGGAGTGTCGGAGACAGGTTCACCGTTTCAGCGGTAACAGTTACAAAGGGTACACCACTAGGGCGGAGGCGGAATCTAGATACGCCCGCTATCTAGCGGGAGAGAGGAGGGAGCGTTGGAGGAACCAGATGAAGACCAGTTTCATCGCGATGATGCTCATCGTGATGACCACAACTCTCTTCTATGTGATGGTAGTTTAGATGATCGATATCGACTTGTAATATGAAGACAAACTCGCTACTCGCGGTCTCGAGACTTGTAATGTTCTATCTTTGTTCGGTCTTTTGAATTCGCAGACTAATATGATGAATTGTATTCGGAGAGCTATCTTCTATTGTATTGGATGAATGTGCTGTTGCTGTGTGGTGCTGTCTATATTCTGTCCAATAATATATTTTGTAACGTGTGAAAATATCAGAAATGTGCATTTTCCCAACCATCTCCAAATCACCTCAGTTTTGGCACACATGATCTCTTCCACAAACAAAACTAGGTTTCCAAGTTTTTGTATTTTTTAAATTTTTTTTGAATTTATAATGCCCTCTAGACTGACTGCTGAAAACATCGGTCTATGCCTCAAGGGGGCATTGTAAAATAATTTTTTTCAAAATTTTCTTGCATACACATGTTTTGCACATGTGGGTGACCATGTACAAGAAAATTTGGGTGATTTGGAGGTGGTGGAAAAAATCACGTTTTTTCAAAAAAATGGCTTAAGTTAGACCAAATGGTCCCTCCGGGAATGCGGGCATTTTTTCGACCACCTCTAAATCACCTCAGTTTTGGCACACATGATCTCTTCCACAAACAAAACTAGGTTTCCAAGTTTTTGTATTTTTTTGAATTTATAATGCCCTCTAGACTGACTGCTGAAAACATCGGTCTATGCCTCAAGGGGACCTGCATGCAAGAGTCGGGGACCTGCATGTGAATAGTGATTCATCAAGGCCTTGAGAGCTACTGGCACAGCGGCTACCGCCCGATTTGCATGCAGCGAAGATGAACGTGCATGGAGGTTTTTCAAAGATTTCCAAGCACACCCGAGTGGGCCCCGCTTATTTAAAAAATACGTCAGTCATTATTGCTCTGTAAATGAAGAATATGCATGATGATTATGAATATGCATGACAACCATAGTAAGGGTGAAGAATCATAGTGCCCAATTTGTCGAAATACATCATCATTCTTAAAGTTGGACATCATATGATACACACAGAAAGTGGAAACGAAAGATGTCGAACTAATACAGTAACATGGCAGTACAACCGAACTTCACTAAATTACTGTCACGATGAAATAGAATGTAAAGACCACGTCACACAAAGCTGAATGGCACACGACTTTCTCTGGCTCATCGTCGGTTCATGCTGTATGTAGATATCACAGTTCAGCCTCGAGATCCTACACAGAAGAATAGAATAAATCACATGGACATCAATTATGAGTAATACACATGCAAAAAAAAATATGAACATATTTCGTACCTCTAGCAATTTAGCGCATTTACGTCGATTGTGACCTGGTTTCTTGCAATAGCCACATATATATTCTGTGATCTTGACTTCTTTGTCTTTGCCTGCAGCCTTTTCTTCGGTGCACCTCGTCCTGGTACATGCACGGGATCCAGAACCTTATCAACTTTCTGCGAGTGCGGCATCAACGGGCCAAACCTAATGCAGTTATGTTGAGCATTAGTTGACTCCTTGCTGTCAGCTAGTTCAAAAATTGATTGCTTGCCATGATGTTGTGCTTGCAAAAGCACCTTTAGACGGTGATAGTCCTCATCAGAGTGGCATGCCTGGAAACTTGCGGCGTGACTACAATTCCGCAACTCGCGGTACCTCTGCAGGCTTAGCGAATAGTCATACATCTGGTTTTTTCTAGTAGGTTCTTATGCACATTTTGCATTCATAGTCCACCTAGTGGGAACACAACAACCCGGCAGAATTGTTTGTTTTAAAATCCCCAATATGTAAAAATGTGGGAACATGGTGTGCCTGCGCATTCCAGCTTACGGCAAGAACAACTCACCCTGTCCAAAAGACCTCCTTGCTCTTCAATGCGCACTCCAAACTTTTTATCCATTCTTTCCTGCTTGGACACAACATAAGTGGAATCTTCTGATCCATCTAGTATCTCTCTAATCTGACATTTGCTGACAGCATCTATGCTCCATAAGACCATCTTAAAGACCCTAGGTGTGAAAACTGTTGCGGCGTGTTTCTCAAGCGGCGAAGCATTTTCCTCTGTAAATGGAACGGACTGCAAGGCTTCGACGTCATGGAGAGCTTCGTTAATCCGTCGCGACGCAAGGCAACGCTCATAGTGCTCTAGCATTTCAAACAACGACATCTTACCCTTAAGATGCGTATGTAGCACAGAGTTCAAGCTCTCACTCCTTTGGTTGCTGCTCAATCCTAGGAAACAACGCCCCTCAAGATATGGAGCACACCACAACTTTCTCATCTGATACATCTGATGCAGCCAAGACTCCTCACTGGTTACTTTATTCCGTTGTAAGAATTGTATCCATTTTATCTCATGCTCTTCAATGGAAGAAGTATCATAAATGAAAGATCTGAATTCCTCCTTTACGTCGTCATCATGCAGATGGCGTACAATGTTCTGCTGAATGTGCCATATACATAGTCTATGGTTTGAGTCTGGCCAGACCACCCTTATTGCTCTCTGCATTGCAAGGTCCCCATCTGTGATCACATATATCGGATGCTTCTGTGCCATGCAATCAGAAAAGGTCCGCAACATCCACTCGTATGCCTGGCTTGTTTCATGAGAAATTATACCACAGCCAAATATAACAGTGCTGCGGTGGTGATTCAACCCGACAAAAGGCACGAATGGCAGATTGTATTTGTTGGTTCTGTATGTGCTATCAAAAACAAAGACGTCTCTGAAAGCCTCGTAGTCAAGTCGCGATTAACTATCAGCCCAGAACAGTCCTTTCAGATGGCCATGCTCATCTACCAAGTACTTGAAGAAAAAATCCACATCTCGCTCTCGCCTCGCCATCATGTGCATGATCACCGTTTTAGCATCACCGGCACTGATTGTCTCTTGCTTATTAGCATGGCAGAAATTGTAAATGTCCCTCTTTATGCATCCAACCTTATCAAATCCACCGTATTGAAAGCACAAAATATCCATAATACGGTATTTACGGATCCCAAACTTTTCCATGTCCGCAATGTCCGCTTTCTGCTCATCGCTAATTCGTCTGTGCGAACGCAGCAGACAAGAAAGATCCCGTGGGGCTAGAGGATGCCTGTGCTCATCGCTGAAATCCTTGACAAACCACCGACCGGTTTCCTCCTGTCTCGTAATGACCAATTTAGCATTACACCCAACACGAGTTAAATTTCGTGGCCTCCTCTTTCTATCTTCCATCTTTCTTTTCATGTGCTTATGTTCGCGAAACCCTTGACGACTACACACAATTTTCCTTAAAATTATGTATTTGTTGGATCCATCCCACTCAACGTAGCTTTTCCTCACACTAAAACCTTTTTCAAGAGCATATTTGTTGTAGAATTCATAGCCTTCAGCCTCACTATCAAACATCTTGCTGACAACATTTACATACTCGAACATACTCTCATCACTTGCATACGCCATGTCTTCCTGCATATGACATGTGAGGGAAACCAATCATCAACATCTTTCTGTTTATCAATGTTGCAGGTGCAAAATAGCTCATAGGCAAAGACAAGTGAATGGAAAAGACTTTGCTGGTTTGACATGTGAGGGAAACCAATCATCAACGTCCAACAAGTAGTATCTCATCTTCCTTTAAACTATATTTCATGCGCTAGTGATGATGACTTTAATAAACTAAATTAAGTGAACTATGGAACCAGTATCTCATCTTCCTTTAGTATATCTCATCTCAAACGTCAACATCTTACTTAAACAAACATGATGCGATTAGCTCAAGAGAAACTATGCCACGATGAAGCTTTCCATTCGTTGTTCTAGTCAGTACCCGGATCTTGTGGGGTTGAGATTGTACTGCATGCACGGTGGAGGGGCGCAACGGCCAAGAGAATGAGCAGAACGCCAAGCCGAATTCATACCTTAAGGATGGTACGCGCGAAGAGATGGGATCGCCCGCCGCGGTCGCCGCCGATTCAGCCGGCGCAGATCCGGCCTTCTTCTTCTTCGGTGACGGCGTGGGGGGCTGGGGTTGGTTGGGTGGAGGACGAGGACGATGAATTTATTCCTCTCGCCGGGCAGGTCGAGGACGGAGAAGGTCAGGAGCGGCGAGCGGCGACGAATAGATCGGAGGAGGATTCTGAACTGGATCGAGTAGACATGGATCTGGTCCTCAGGTGATCGGTTCAAGAAAAGATATTTCCTCTGGACCATTATGCCCTTATCGCAATTAACATATTAAATTTAATCAATTAAAAATCCCCGCAAGATCTGACGGCTAATAAAAATCAGACGTGATCAGACATGTAAGTACTGCTAAGTACTCCAAGTACTCACCCAATCACCGTAAAACAGCTCACCTGATAAATGAGCATCTGCCTCCCTGTTCTTCTAAAAAATAAATGAACCACACCACAAAACTGTGCATCTCCGATCCAGCCACTCACCCTTCGAGAGAGTCAAGAAAGCCAAGGGAGAGCCGGGGAGAATGGAGGGGACGACGCAGATTGTGTCCATCGTCGGGCAGCTGGTGGGGGAGGAGTACCGGCAGCTCCGCGATGTAGCCGGCCAGGTGGCTGAGCTCAGGGACGAGCTGGACACCATGAACGCCATCCTCCGCATGCTGTCCGATGCCGACGAGGGCGCCGTGGACCACTTCATCCGGGCGTGGATGAAGCAGGTTCGCGAGCTCGCATACGACGCGGAGGATTGTGTTCACCTTTACATCCTCCGCATCCGGTGCCGGCCGAGAGACGGCTTTCTCGTCTGGTCCAAGCGCATCCTCACGACGCTCTTCACTCGCCGTCGGCTGGCTCGTGAGATCCAGGAGCTCCGCGCCCGTGCTGTCGTGATCAGTGAGCGTCATGCGCGTTACGGCGTCAGCCGTAAGGCGCTGAGCCGCTCTACATCTCCTTCTACCTCTGCGCCAGTGCTCCGCCATGCGCGCAGCCTGGCAGCAAACGACCGTGACCATCTCGTGGGCATCACGGAGCAGGCTACCGAACTGGCCACGATGGTTAAGGCTGTGATTAACAGTGAGCGTGACATGAAGCCCAAGGTGTTCTACATCGTGGGGTTCGGGGGGCTCGGGAAGACTACACTGGCGATGGACGTGTGCCAGCAGCTGGAGGCGGACTTCCAACGCCAAGCACAAGTTTCCGTGTCCCAGGCGTTCCGCGGCACAAAGGATATGGAGGGACTGCTGAGGCGCATGCTTCGCCAAATCGTGAAGCCAAAAATAGATAACGCGCAAGGTATCAAGGAAGAAGAACCCCTAGATGACATCGACAACAAGGATGAAGACGACCTCACTAACATGCTCAAGGAGATTCTGAAGGACATGAGGTAAATACACTCACAAACTGCCTATATATATCGATCTATTGGTTTGTGATTTTTTTTGTGTGTTTGAATCTATCAGTCTGTCTATTTAAGACACTCAGGAAGTTTCATGTTAATCAAGGAAGAAAAACATAGGTGTGGTTAGATCCCAGTCAACTAAGATTTAACAAAGTTTTAGTCAAGCAACAGAAAATAAAAATAAAAAATCTATTTATTTTTTTGCCCACATCACGTAAGATCCCATGAATATAGCATCAACAGAGGCTTGATTAAAGTCAACTGAGATTTAGCAATCCCGAAAAATTAAATGTAAGCCAAACTCATTTGGTGGGATCTAGATATAATTGCGATTAGATTACCCACACTAATTACCCTACAAGGGTATTGGTATTTTTAATTATCAGGTGTCTGAGAATTTGTTAGTTCACAATCTCTTTTTTTTTGCGAGAAAAATTTTCAATCTACTCATCAATCATGGCAGTACATAGAACACTAGAGGTAAAAAAAATTACAACCACATCCATGGAGCATCTAGTTATGACTACAAGCGCTGGAGCGAGCCGAAGGTGTGCCGCCCTCATCGCCCCTCCCTCACTGGAGCCGGACAAACCTTGTTGTAGTAGATAGTCAGGAAGTCGTTGTGCTAAGGCCCCAAAGTACCGACGCACAAGAGCAACAACCATCGCCGATGAAGAGAGTTATAGAATGGAAAGATCAAACCTGTAACCACACGAAAGAAGACAAACAAAATCTGGATCCAAATAGATCCACTGAAGACCAGCACCGATCGAATTCCGCGACATCCGATGGAGACATACTTCCACACATCCTCCGACGACACTATTCACATCATCGAGGCGGGGGTAGGATGTGGGAGACATTATTTCTACTGAAGGACATCGCCACTGCCACACAGCTCCAACCAAGACATTGAACCAAACAAAAATTAAAACGGGATCCCTCCCGCCGGCGGGGGGCCGAGATCCTCTGAACCTCCACGGCCCAAAGGCCATCGGAGGCGGGGCCGGCGGTAGGAGGATGTGAGATGCAAAACCGTTGGGTTCTAGCTATGAGGCATGCTTTGTTTATTTCTTTTCTGTAGTTCATGTTCAACTTATATATAATGAGCTTCTCCCATTTTTCGCAATCCTAGCCCCGCTCAATCAAATGACCAGAAATGTTTGTCCCCAGATCCAGTTGCCAAATCTTCCCCGTTGGAAAGCCCTCTAGGTGACACGTGGCTCTTTTCGCTCGATCAGTAACGCTACACAACTCCCTTCTTTCCCGTTTATAGAGCTCATCCAAAAAAATTGTTTTTCCGTTTCATAAGTTTCAATTCTACTACTTACCATCACCCCTTCCAGTGGTGGAGACAGGCCTGGGGCAACTAGGGCTTTAGCCCCAGGCCTAGTGACAACTTTCCTTATAATTTCCTTCATTCAAAGTACAAAAATCATAGAAGTTTATCACTCAACATAGCACAGCCCCATGCGTCACCTACTTCTATCTCCGCCACTGACCCCTTCATACATGCTACATATGGGCTCTCCGCTAGGGTTTCCTCTGCCTCTTGCCAGCACCGCCGCCAATCCTCCTCTTCTCCTACGGCCCTAGGACCATGTAGGCACACCATCGCCGGTCTGCCTCTCCTCCTATAGGGTCCTAGGACCATCGAGGCATGGTGGATCCCGGCCCTTGATGTCGAGAGGGCTCCATTTTTAAATGTCTCTTCTAGTATTGTTGGGGTTTGTGCGAAGCTTGGGAAACCATGCGGAGGCCGCTTCTTGAAGATGGAGTAAGATTCTCCTCGCCAGCCCCCCGTTCCGACGATGCTTCTAGCGTCGCTGGAGCGCGTGTGGAGTTTCCTCTCTGATGGATCTAGTGGGATTCGGTCGACCTTTGTCTTTGGTGGATCCAATTGGATCCGATCTTCGTTTGTCTGCGTATGTGTGTCTACAGGTTAGATTCTTCTGATCTACACTTTTTTTCATTGGCGGCAGTTGTTGTTCTCGTGCGCTAGTCCTATAGGCGCCTTAGCACAATGACTTCCCGTTGTCTACTACAATAAGGTTTGCCCAGCTCTGATGAGGGAGGAGCGATGACGGCGGCGGACCTACGGCTCGCTGTAGTGTTTGTAGTCATCGCTAGGTTGTCTACAGACCTAGATGTATTTTTTTTACTTCTAGTGTCTCTATACTATATTGACAGATGGTGAATAGATGAGAAGTTTTCTCGCAAAAAAAGGTTCAGATTTTAAGGTGCATAAATAACTGCATGCAAGGATCAAGAGAAAACTCACCAATTCATATTTTTTTTTTGGTCATTTAGAAGTCCTGTATGCATGAGCTGTAATTAATGCATCAGTAAATATAACTTTTTGAGAAAAATAAGCGTCCTAATTAAATATTTGCAAACTATGAAATTTATTTCATCACTCATCATCTATCTTGGTTGGAAAGATTTTGGAATTGAGCTTTATAAGAGCATGGTTAATCGAAAGTCCTGTTCTGCGCTCGAGCACATATGCTCGCGGAATCATCCCCGTTCAGTCTCCTTGAGATCGTGGACCCATCACGTGAGGGCCCAAGTATTCTTTTTGTTACCAGGCCTGATGACCCACATCACAGACGATGCCGTCAGTCATGTTGTTACCGCTCTGACGGAAGCACACATTATGGCCCGTCAAATCCGAGATTCTGGACGAACGGCGATGTTAGAGCCCATTTATTGTTCCCAACTGTTGCACTGACCGATCTAAAACTGCTGAATTGTCTCAGAAGAAAATCTAGACTGCTGAATACATGAATGGAGCGGCCAATACGTTCAGTTGTCCCTCTCCCAACTCTTATCCATACGTAGGCATCAATTTTTTCGCTCATGTCCACAATTTGAACTCGTGCATATGCCTTGTCCGCCGCAGTAGAATTTTGGATTAGACACCTATCTGCAGACAGCTATGAACGTATACTAATATGCAATGAACTGTTGTAACCATTCAGCTACAAGTGCAGTCTTTTAATTTACCAAACAAACTCTAATACAGTACCAAAAACATAATTCTGGAGGTATAACTATCAACGCCCACCCACATCATAATTCTCCAGATCAAAACCCAGACCAACTCACAGTAGATTCAGTACAGTTTATTCAGACCACATTCTATTTATTCAGACTAGTTCCACTCAGGAAGTAGTATCAAGAAATTCATTAGACACACTTGTATCAACACATGCAAAGGAAATTTGCAGCTTCAGCATGAGGATACAACCTACAACAAACAGTCTGCATTATCTGCAAATTGTCATACACATACACCATTTATCCTAACCATGCAGGTACTGTCCCAGGTACATCCCTACTATTTCAGTCAACTCTCTTTCAGACATAGCTCCGCTGCTTTGTTGCAATTGTTCCGCTGGTGACCTTCGACTCCACAGTTCTTGCATCGACCGGGTCTTGCTATGGTACATCTCCGCGGTCTGGGCACGTAGTCCTTTTTGTCTCCCTGTCGCCGGCGAATAGTGCAAAACCTGGATTATCGGCAAACCACGGATAGCCTTCTCCATAGCAGTAGTCCGGTTAGGACATGGTGTCCTTCCCGGCGCAGCAGCACCTATCGTCACTCTGCAACCAAGAAAATCCCACAAACAGATATGAATATGATGGATAGTTTTACACACAGCGCTAGTAAACATTTGCAAGCACCCTGATCTTCTACTTTTGGTTTAGCTGCAGAATCAACATAGCCAAATCACATCTTGTACAACTTTATTAATAACAATTTCCTGATTTCACACACTAGCAGCAACATGTTAATTACTTCAAACCACAAAATCATGCAATGTCGCTGCCCAGCTTATTCTAGTTCTGAATTTCTGAAGCTTGTACTAATAGATGAGTCAGTCCTGCATCCGTATTTACAGAGCCACACACCTAGCAGTTCAGTCAGTACCAACATAGGCACCCACTCCCTTACACAATTTGCATGCTCTGATTGTTTCAAACCAGAGTGCACTTGAAAGGCCACCTAAGTGCTTTAGCCCCCATCTCTACAAGCAGAGGGCGCCTAAATCACTTTTTCTGCTGAATAATCATAATTTGGTTGCACAAAATTTGTGGTTCTGCGGAACTGACATACCTTCTTTTCCACCCAAGAGCTATTTGGTTGATCTGTCTAATAGTGCTCTGAACCTTCTCGGCCTCCATCCGCCGCCCCTTCAACCGAATAGATCTGGACATCCGCACTCATCTCCACCATAGGTGCAACACTGGGTAGTATTGCGGCTGCATCAGAATATTGATGCCGTTCACCTCTTCAAGCACGGTGGTCCTAGGTAC